CACCCACACATTCTATTGTCTTTTGTAAATATATCCATGCTGGGGGTTGGGGGTGTAAACTTTGCTGATACAGTAGCTAAAACATTCAGCTGCTAACAAAAAGGTTAGCGGTTCAAATCCTCAAGGGGTGAAAGATATGGCTGGCTGCTTCCATAAACACAGTCTTGGAAACCCTATGGGGTAGTTCTACTCTGTTGTGTGGTGTCGCTATGAGTTGGAATTAACTTGAAGGCAGTTATTTGGGTCTTAGTTGGTATGAAGACACCTACTACTTATCTTCTTGAGTTTTCCCTATAACTTGATGGACTTATTTTTTACTTTTTTATCATCTGTATATCTTCCCTGGAGAACCATCTATCCAAGTCCTTTTATTGTTGAATATGTATACATAGGGAGCTCTGGTGGTCTAGGGACAAGAAGCTGTACTACAGTCCCAAAGGCACATGGTTTGAAGCCACCTCCTGCTCTGCGAGAGAAAGATAGGCAATCTCCTCCCATGCAGTGAACTGCCTCTGAACCCTCCTGGATGGTCAATTATGGGTCAGTTCCAACTCGATGGATACACAACAACAACAAATTTATACACGTGTGTATGTGTGCACTCCAATGCATGCATGCTCTGGTGGCACTGTGTGTCAAGCATTCATGCAGTAATCAAAAGGACACACACACACACACACCCCGAGCTGATCAACAGGAGAGAAATGTGACCGTCTACTGATAAAGTTCACAGCCTTGGAAACTTGATGGGTGGTCCTACTGTCAACTCAGTAACACAGCAAGAGTGGGTATATGTTGTTGCTAAGTGCTGTCAAGTCGAGTACGACTCATAGCAGCCTGATGAACAACAGATCTGGACCCTGTCCTGGCTTGTGCCGTCCCTGTCATCTCTGACACATACGAGCCCATGGTGCATGCCCTGTGTCGATGCATCTTGTTGAGGGCCTTCTCTTTCACTGACCCTCCACCTTCCCAAGCAGGATGTCCCTCTCTGGACACTAGGCCTTTTATACGTATGCTTGGCAAATAGTCTTTCCAATTCTGTGAGAATATGTCTTCTCACATTCTTCCAGGTGTCCTATAAGGCACAACGTTTTTTCATTTTGATGAAATCCCACCTATCTATTTTATTTTTCTTTTGTTTCCTGTGCTTTTGGTGTCATACCTATGACGCCACTGCCAAGTCCAAGGTCAAAATTCTTGCTTTTAAGAGTTTTGTTTTCAATGCTTGCAATCAGGTCTCTCCTCGGATTCAATTAACAGGTCTCTTTGTAAAAAAATTTATCTCCCAAGTTGTTGTTATGTGCCATCGAGTCACCAATAACTCATAGTGACCCTGTGTAATAACTCTGAACCTTGTCCTGAACCCAGTGAGCCAGTCTCACTGACTCCAACACACTTAATCCCATTGGCCCAGTTGCCATGTCAGTCATCTCATCTGGCATCTTTCTCTTCAATGCTGTCCTTTCACACTTCCAAGCATGATGTCCTTCTCCAAGGAGAAGGCCCCTCGTGGCTGTGTGCCCAAAGTATGTGAGATGGGGCTTCAAAATTCTGGCCTCTAAAAAGAAACTTGGTTTCCCCCTCTCCAAGACTTATCAACATTCTGCATTATGCAGATGATACAACCCTGCTTGCTGAAACTGAGGAGGACCTGAAACGTTTGCAACAGAAAATCAAGGACTGTAGTCTTCAATATGGATTGAAGCTGAACAGCAAGAAAACAAAGATTCTCACCACTGGGCCAGTAGGCAGCACCATGATGGATGGATGGAGGAGAGATTGAGAGTGTTAACAATTTCACCTTGCTCGGCTCCACAATCAACACTCTTGGCACTAGCAGTCAGGAAATCAAAAGACAAATTGCATTGGGGAAGAGTGCTCACCTTTCATGTGGATGCAATATTTTTAAGGTTCCTATTTGTTGCTGTTTCATTCATTTTTATTGCTAAATAGTACTAATTATAATACCTTTTGAACCCTTTCCTAATGTCCCAGAGTTGCTGTAACAAAGTACCCCAAAGTATATGCCTGTAGGATTCCATAGTTGGCATTAACAGGGAATGCAATAGGTTCATACAGGAGGTTTAAGTCTACCCAGAAGCACCTGGATAAAAAGCCTGGTGACCCGTGTCTGAAACATCAGCCATTGAAAATCCAATGGGACACAGTTCCACTGATGCACATGGGGTCCCTGTACTCAATGTCAAGTGGCTTTTGTGTTTATTTATTTGTTTGTATGTTTGTTTGGGGAGAGTGGCTTAAAGAACAGTATTGCCTTGTCTCACAGTTCTAGAGGGTTGTTGTGGTTAAGTACTGTCAAGTCAGTTCTGATACATAGCAACCCTTTGAACAATGGATATGAACCCCATCGCTATCCTGTGTCATCCTGTGTCTAACATACTCAAGCCTACTTGTTAAAGTCACTGGCCAATCCATCTCGTTGAGGGTCTTCTCTCCTTCACTGACACCGCTATCTTTCCAAGCATGATGTCCTTTTCCAAGGACTGGCCCCTTCCTAACAATATACCCAAAGTGTGTTAAGAGGAAGTTTCGCCATGCTGGCCTCCAAAGGAGCACCTGGCCGCACCTTTGCCAAGACACACTTGTTTGTTGGTCTTTTTGGCAGTGCGTGAGATGGATTTTCAGTGCTCTTCTCCAATACCGCAGCTCAAAGGCATCAGTTCTTTTCTTTTTAGTCTTTCTTTATCTTCACTTTTCAGGTGCGTCTCTTGTAGACAGCAAATTGATGGATTTGGGGTTTTTATCCAATCCGCTACTCTTCTTCTCTTCAATGGTGCATTCAAACCATTCACATTCAGTGTGATTACTGAAAGGCAGGGTTTTATTGTTATCATTTTGTTGAATTCTTTTTGGTGTTGTTGCTAGTACTTTGGTCCATGCTGCTGTCTGTGGTACCTCTGTAAGAATGAGAGCTCTCAGTGTTTCCTGCAATGCTGGTCTTGTTTTTACAAACTCTCTTAGTTTCTGTTTTTCTGGGAATATCTTGATCTCTCCTTCATATATGATGGATAATTTTGCTGGGTACAGTATTCTTGGTTGATCAAGGGCATCAATTCTTCTGCCATCCTTATTCATTGCCCAGCTTTCAACCACATAGCAAGTAATTGCAAAGACTATGATTTGGATCAAGTACACTACCAAGTTCAAGCTGACATCATTTCTTTCAGAACTTGGGAGACTTTCCAATGCAATTCGTCTTCTGATTTCCTGGCTGCTGGTGCCAAGGGTGTTGAGGGTGAATCTAAGCAAGATGAAATAATTCACAATCTCTTCTCTATCTGTCCTGATGTGGCCTATTGGCCTAGAGGTGAGGATTATAATTTCCTTGCTGTTGAGATGCAACCCATATTGAAGGCTGCAGTCTGTAATTCTCTGTAGCAAGTGTTTCAAGTCCTCCTCACTTTTAGAAATCAAGGTTGTGTCATTTGCATAAAGCAGGTTGTTGATGAGTCTTCTTCCAATCCTGATACTGCATTCTTCTTCAAATAGCCCAGCTTCTCAAAATTATTTACTTAGCATACATATTGAATAGGTCTGGGGAAAGGATACATCCCTGACACACACCTATCTAGAGAGCTCTTGTTGTGGGCTTTCAAGTCAGAACTGACTCATAGCTGACCCTCCAGTGGGTTTTCAGAGGCAGCTGATTGCACAGAAGTAATATGTCCATCCTTCTCCCTCAGAGCAACTGGTGGATTCAAACCATGGACCTTCAAGATTGCAGCTCAGCTTCTTACCACTAGGCCACCAGAGCACCCTATCTAAAGGGTAAAATTCTAGATTCAGAGTATTAACAGTGTCTCACTCCCTCCAAAGTCTCTAGTGGGGGCATCTTTCCTTGTCTCTTCCTGCTTCTTGTAGCCAAGGCATTTCTTAGCATTTTTTTTGCTTTTCTATACATCATTACCAGGTGTCTGTCTTACCCCTGCGTGTGTCCATCTCTTACTCTGTCTTTTCCTTGCTAAGATATCACTCAGAAAGGCTTAGGACTGGCCCTCACTTGACTCTGGCATGAGTCTCTGTGTGGTGCCAATAGCTAAGTGCTGGATTTCAGAAGGATTCAGAAGGTCACAGCCTTGAAAACCCAATGGAAAACCTCTACTTTGCATGGCTGGTGCCACCAAATGTCAGAATTGAATAGAGAGCCACTCACAGTGACAACTTCTGGTTGCCTCTACCTATTAATTTAACTGACAGCGTCTGCAAAGATAAATTCTGTTTCCACATCAGATCACATTCCCAGAGTGATTGACACTGTGGGCTGACAGCGATAGTGAGGAAGGCACAGGAGGGTAAGGTTCCGATTTGTCGTTCATAGGAGCGTTGTGAGTCCTAGTCGACTCAACATCACCTAACAGCAATTACATATAACCCCAAAGACTAGACCCACAACCCTTGTGCACCCAATAAAATGAGTCACATGGGTGCTGAGCCTGGAATCCCAGCTCTGAGACTCTGGACAACCTAACGAGCTTGCAGTCTCTCCTCTATCCTGTGCCCTGTCCTCCATCCTGTGCCCCTGTCCTCCGTCCTGTCCCCCGTCCTCCATCCTGTCTCCGTCCTCCATTCTGTCCCTGTCCTCCATTCTGTCCCCGTACTCCATCCTGTCCCCCCGTCCTCCATCCTGTCCCCCCAACCTCCATCCTGTCCCCCTGTCCTCCATCCTGTCCCCCAACCTCCATCCTGTCCCCCTGTCCTCCATCCTGTCCCCCCAACCTCCATCCTGTCCCCCTGTCCTCCATCCTGTCCCCCAACCTCCATCCTGTCCC